GTCGCCGCCACGGGAGCCCAGATGCCGTGCGAGCACAGCGACCGCGCCGTGGAGTCCGCTACCTTTGCCCAGGGAGCCCAGGGAGGCAGGAAGACGCACGCGCAGCTCCGCGCGCCCCGCCCTCTCTTCCGGCGTTTGCTTGAACCTCCCGCTAATGAGAACGTCATTGTCACCCAGGTGTCTTCTTGCAAACTACCGAAACCGGAAACGTGTAAAAAGGCATCCCAACATCAAGAAGGAGACAGAATTTGCGACCTTCTGCTCCCTTGATAGGTTTTTCTGGAATGAATGGAGAAGTCACCCTTCTTGGCTACTTTTCGGCCTCTGACCAATCACAAAGCGCCGTGGTTTGTCACTCAGCTCTCAATCCCCTCCTCTCTCAGGATGCGTAAAACTCCAGAATGAGGTCGGAGAGCGGGCATGCTCAGTCGGAGTACGACGCCGGGCTGGAAACTTCCGCCCAGTCTTGGTGCGGGCTTCGGCAGAACTCGAGAGTCTCCGACTCAGTGCCGGAACTGATTGCCTAATTGTTTTTTGTTGTTGTTGTTGTTCTTGCCATTCATTTTTCTGCTTCAGAGATAAGTCTTTTGTTCTCTCAGACCACCGGAAATATTAGGTGGTTATAACATACTTTAAATTAGCTTCTTCTGGCATTGTGATGGCCACCTTTATTTTTCAATTTACCTTTTAATCTTCTTTATCTAAAGTGTTTTTCCCACCTGCCCTAACAGTTTTGTGATACCATGGAAACACTATGGGCTTTTTTTCCCCCTGTCCATCACTACAGACTGAATTACAGTGGTTCGTTTTCTGCCAATCGTATTCATGGTATTCCCAGCCTCCAACAGCCAGCTCCTGGCACCATTTTTCTTTTGGTCTCTTTATAAAGCTTTGTGATCAGGAACGGGAGCCATATTTTGTTTGGGCAGATCCTTCCGGCTACTCCGATACCTCTCCTAGTGTTTCGACGCCATCTTAGGTCCTGGCAATGGCTTCCAGCCCCTGTGAAGCCGGTCACGTCATCTTGTGTTTGGGCGGTGGTAGTTGCATTCTCAAACGCGCGGGGCTGCGTTGGGAAAGGGGAAGTGAGCCAAAGCCTCCGAGGCTTTGCCCGCCGCCTTTTTGGCGTGAGTTTCCACATCCAGGTTCTAGTCCACCAGTGACCCTGGACTGTAGCAAAACATAAAAAGCCCGAACCCACCTACCGCCACCAGCATAGGTAAGAGCATGATACTTCGGCCACCTAGCTGTTCCCTCAGCTGGACCGAACTGTTGGCCCATCTTCTTTACCAGTACCACATACAGAAGTGGTTTTGAATTTTGAGACTTTCCAGTCTTTCTCTTAGGCATTCCGTCTCTCTCCATTATCTTTTGAAAACACTCTGAGAGCTGAAAAATTGTTAAACGTCAAGGAACAGAAAGACTTGAGATTTAAAATGAAAATAATGTTGAGGGAGTTTCTCCCAAATAAAAGATAGCCAAATGGACAGGACAACAATTTGTATCAAATTATGGCTGTCTACATCCATATGTGTACATGTAGCCCTCAGATATTTTTTGTTTGTTTGTTTGTTTGTTTTTTTCAACACAGGGATTCTCTGTGTAACAGCTCTTACTGTCCTGGAGCTTGCTTTGTAAACCAAGAGGTCTTGGTTTACAAAGAATTTTAAGATGTGATGTAGGTTGTGGTCGTTCGTTCATTCATTCACGTAGTGCTTTTGTTCAACACTTAACTAGCTTTATGCTATAAAATATAAAAGAAAAGTTAAAAACAAATACAAAAAACCAGTACTCAACCTTTTCTTGGGGCTCTCATTCAATTGCCTTGCCAAGTACCAAGCCAGGAACAGGAACACAGTGTTCCATGGTTCTTAGCACTGCTGGGCAAGCAACTTAACAGGTTCTCATTTCTCCTATTTCCTAAGTACTGTATATGACCATAATTGTAAGCCACTTGGCTAATATTCGAGGTACTATGGCCTTGTTGCTCAGTGTAGTCATCTGCCAGCCGGGTCAGCATCATCTGGGAGATTACATGGGATGATTGGAAGTTGCATGTGGGCACAGTATGATGTTGACTTGGAAACTTTGGGCTGTGGCTTACCGTAGCTTTTTGTAGTCCCAGGCTTTCTTCTGTGGCTTCCTTTAATGAGAAATCAAAATCAGGAGTTCTCAAACTTGGCTGCCCATGACAGTCACCTAGGAAGCTTCTAAACCAGACTTCATACTAGTTACAGACAGAAATCCAGACCCTGACAGGGATTGGGGTGCTACTAGGGTATTTGATAGCACTGAAAATGATGTTTATGCTTCTCATGCTGTTAGGAGTAAGACTGTTTTTTTCCCCTCCCTGGGGGCTTTACTTCAAGTGAGGAATATTAGATTGGGAGTGTGGTGAACCAGCTTCCCAGTAATTGGCTACTTTACTGTATGTCTTTTTTTTCCCTCAATGTATTCAGTGGGAAAGAAGAAAGAAAATCACTTTAAGTTTTAATGAGTATCACATGAATGTTTCCGTTGTGGATATGTATGTTTTATAACTGTGACGGAAGACATTATTACGCAGCAGTATTGTTTGTATTGCACTATTGATTTGCAGTTTTGCATGCCGGATGGTATATTGAGGGTGGTGATGGGGTAGGTGGTGAAGGAGATCAGCTCTGAAACTGTCCTGGCTTCACACCCCACCTCTGTCACTTACCAGTTCCAAGCTCTAGAATCTAAAAGACATTACCTACACATGTGCTTTAGTTTTGTAACTTGTAAGGTAGGACTTATGTGAGAGTTAGATAAGTTAATACCAGAAACGTGCCTTTTAAAAGTGTCTGTTCAGAGCTGTGTGCTGTTCTAGAGAACTTGAGTTTAGTTCTCAGCCATGTGTCATGCAGTCTGTAACTCCAGCTTCTTGGAGGAATCCAAAGTGTCTGACCTCTATGGGTGTCTACCCTCACACAATCATATCCACACACAGGCAGGCATACACCTATACACATAATAAAAAATTAATAAAAATTTAAAGTAGTGCCTGACACATAGTAACAGCTATATTAACTGTAGCTGTATTTTTTTATATTATAATTCAATCTTTGGATTATTAAGATTTTGTTTATATATTCCAATGACTGAAATCCTTTGACTTTCCACTGTGTCCATCTATTTGAAAAAGAGGGTGGTCTAAATACATTATCCCAGTGGCCGGAGAGATAGCTCAGAGGTTAAGAGCACTGGCTGCTCTTCCAGAGGTCCTGAGTTCAATTCCCAGCACTCACAAGGTGGCTCACAGCCATCTGTAATGAGATCTGGTGCCCTCTTCTGGCCTGCAAGTATACATGCAGACAGAATACTGATAACACAATAAATAAATCTTTAAAAATAAATAATTAACTAAATTATCCCAGGCCATGAAGATGATTTTTAAATCAAAAGATGTTTAAACATAGCCTTACTGAGATAAAATTGTGATGCCAGTAGCAACATTTATTTAAAGTATACACTGTGGTATGTTTTTCGTATATATACTGGTGAAACATCACAATCAGACAACATAATCTTCTGTGTAATTCACCAGTTGATAACCATTGGGAGTATTGTTTTCAGTGTGCTCAATTTCACGAAGCTTTGTTCTCCAGCTTATTTAAATTGAAAACAACAACAAAAACCCTTGTTACTTAGTATCTTCTATATAAGCAAAACCAGAAGAGGACAGTGGTGAAACATCTTGTGTTGTTTATAGTTTATGCCTTAATTTCTTATGAATGAAATATGACTTTTTTAAAATGCAAAATGCAGTGCTGGAAATGTAGCCTAGCATGCATGTGTCCTGGGTCCAACATGAAACTCTGTGTTAAAAAAACAATCAATCAAACAAACAAATAAACAAAAGACCAAAACAGCCAGGCGTTGGTGGTACACGCCTTTAATCCCACCATTCGGGAGGCAGAGGCAGGTGGATCTCTGTGAGTTCGAGGCCAGCCTGGTCTCCAGAGCGAGTGCCAGGATAGGATCCAAAGCTACACAGAGAAATCCTGCCTCTAAAAAGACAAAACAAACAAACAAAACAAAAAGAAATTCAGTTCTCAGGTTTGAACCTTTTACTTGCTAGGCAAATGCTCTGTCCCTGAGCTGTAATTAAAGCTCCTTACCTCCTGCACTTTAGTTTTGAAACAGAGTCTTGCTAAGTTGCCCAAGCTAACTTTGAACTTAAAATTCCTCTCTGTCAGTCTTTGGAGCAGCTAGGATCACAGGCTTTGCCCACTTGGATTATTTATTTTAATACTTTTTAAATTGTGTGTGTACATGTGTGTCTTTGTGTGGGTATGAGTATGTGAGTACAGGTGCCTATAGAACTCAGGAGAGGGTGTTGGATCTCCTGCAGCCAGAGTTACACATGGTTGTGAGTTGCCTAACATAGGTACTGACATGTGACCTACTGACTTATGTCAAATGCAAAAGCAACAAGAACTGTTAGGGCTGGGTCATCTCTGCAGCCCCAGGATTGTTATCTGATGATATGTATATGTCTAATCATCTGCCTTAAATCTTTAAAGGCTACTATGAATATATTACTTTAAGGATTTTGGACAATGCTACATGTATATTAGAGACCATGAGCTAGCTAAGTAGAGATTTGTAAAGCCAAGCCAGAGACATCCCAGAGCTCCCATTTGTCAGAAGATGGAGAATATTACTTATATATGAAGGTTAAGTGTTTCTGTTATAGAAAAATGATCTATCAGTTGTTTTTAGTAGTACTTACACATTATTTTAGAATAAGTCAAAGCTTGCTTAAAATTCAATTTGATTTATGTTACTAGAGGGGTAATACAAAATACAGCTGTTAAAATATCTTGGATATAAAAGTTACTTTATGTCACTGTTTTGATTTATTCTCTAGGAAAGATTGATATTTTATAATTGGCATGCCATAAAAAGCAAATCTGTCTTGGTTCAGTTTCCTGAGTTTTGACTTGTTCGAGGTTATGCAGCTACCACTGAAATTGGGATGTAGAGCATGTCTGTCATCAGCCTTTATCTCTACCCACAAGCTCCCACCCAGTTTCTCCAGTTAGCCCTTCTGCCCTTCTGTCCTTCAACCCTTAGCAACTAGTGGAACAATGATATATTCTCCCATGATACAGTTTTTGCAATAAATGATTAGATTTTAAGAAGAATATGTTAATGATAATCAGAATGCCTTTTCTTTTGTTGTTTTTTTTTGTTTGTTTGTTTTTCAATGAAGGTGATTGGGAAATAGCAATTATCAGAATAGGTTTTAGGTTACAAAGTAAATTGCATTATGTCCACTTGTACGTTCATGGGTATATTTAAGACTCTAATCACTCACTGAGATTCAGGCACAGAGCCAAGTAATGAAATATATGTCCTTAGAACCCAATGATTATCCTGTTTCATGGAGAAGAGAACCAGAAACACAGAGGAGTTGAATAGGCTCGGGCTGTGTGGAAAGGCAGAGTTGAGAGTCTGAAGATCCAATTAGACTGCATGAGGATGTCTGTGTGTGCTTCTGATAAGCGATCACATGATAGATAGATGTTGACTGTCAACGAAGCATCCCATGCAGGGTTGGCTGGGCTGAAGACTCAGCAGGAAGGGGAGACCTAGGTCTTGAGTCATGATTGGTGTGACAGCAGAGTGAAAGAAAAGTAGAATCAGTAATTGGGATTGATTCTGTTATAGCATTTCAACATCTGGTCTACATCTTATAACAATTAAAAAGTAAAAAAGTCAGATTTTTGTTGTTTGAATGATTCGTTTTTCCACTGCTGATGCTTGTTTTGATTTGTTTTTATAAGCTTGCTAGGCATTCAAGGTTGCTCCCTGAGTCATAGGAACAGTCAATTCTTTTTTTATGCTGAGGTTTCCTATTAACCTTTATCTAAGTTGTCACCAGTAGCACTTTGCTCATCTGTCACTTTTTGACCTTTTACTATAATTTGTTCCTGGGTATCAGTTTAATAATAACAGTAGTGTGCTGGGGGTGGGGGGCAATACTGATGATTTCTTATGTTTTAATTATAGTTGTAATGACAGAAATCTTAGGGCCCTTACTGTTTTCTGTTCTACTCCCATAGCGAGAAAGCTTTGTAGAAAGATAATAGAAGCATAATCATTTCTTAGATAAAAATTGAAATGGAGAGGTTAGAAGCGTAGAGTTAATATTTGGTCTCTTAAACTGGGGTAGCTGCTTTCGAAAGCTTG